ATAATAATATATATATATATATATATATATATATATATATATATATATGTTATACATATATATTTGAAGGGTTTATTCTGCAGGAGGGATTGAGCGAAGCAAACAGTTTTCCTCTTCGAAGCGGATCTTTTAATAGCATTCTGTCGCTAAGTGAGGTAACATTGAACAGTTGCAACTTTTCCGTTTTTTTTATCATGCTAATCTTAGCCGTTTGTTAGCCCAAATCCTTAGATGATACAGCATGAAGATGATTGCATTACTATCGCTTTTGATTTTTCCTTCTTCTTCTTTAAGAAAGGAACGCTTTGCAAATGATACTATAGGCACTCTGCGTTGATGATTTTTGTTTTTACATGTTTATTTTGAATTGTATGATTTTTCTCATATAATTGCAGCAAACTTTATCAAATTTTAATGCAACAATCAATAAACCGTTCAAGCTTTGTTCTGATGTCGACGAAGACCTCTCAATGTCATGCCTTCAGTCAGTGAAGGCATCTGGAAATTTGGCAGCTGTATTCGGTGGTAAAGATAGAAACAGTGCAAAGAAGTTAAGACAGTAAGTTATTCATCATTTGAAACAACCCATAGACAGTCCTAATTTTTATACCATCCAAGAAGTGTGACCGTATTTTGAAGTTTTAAATTCCCTCTTATGAGAAATTATAAGCGATATCGATTACTGTTCAATGGAGGATAACTTGCTTTGAGTTCCGGGTCATTTTTCAGCATGGTTTAGTGTTATCTTATGCTTACCAGGCAGTGAAATACTTTTTCTTCTGTTTTTAGCTTTATTTTTCTATTTCGTTCTAATGGTGGAATATTTAGGAGAGTGTCTAACCCCAAACAGCTTAACTCAACTAAGTTCTCAAAGTATTTTCATTAATATGAATCGCACTAATAAAAGCTTCAATTATTTGGGTTGTCTGAATATCCATGATCCCTGAAAAAACTTTTTTCTTTAATTCAATAAATGTTCTAACAACTGACGTTACTTTCACGTAAAAAACAAGCACTTTCTCAGACTGACGTAAGTTTATTTACACATGACGTATATGAAAAATGCTGGGAGTATAGGATTGCACTTTCTTAACGCCTTGAAAGTTTAATCGTCCACTGGGGAATTTCTTTTTGTGCTATATTCGAATAATTTAGTACGTATTGATAGTAAACTATTCATATTCGTGCTGCCTCTTTTTTTTTTTTTTTTTTTTCAGATCTATTAGCAGTATCAATCCGTACATGAAGTATATATCACAAAAAAACACGCATTCATTAGGAGTTATTGATAATAATTTTACTTGTTCGGCAGCGACACAGATCAAAAAGGATGAATTTAATTTACAACAGCTGGGAAGCAAAAGACGGCCAAAAACGTCGGAAAATATACAATTATCACAAGACATATTTAAAATGGCATCAAGTACAGATGGACTGTTCAACATACGTGCACATTCCCTTAGTCGTTCACCACCTCGTAAAAATAGCCGTTCTGGTGATAATTAGACTTGAATAGAATGTTTTGATTTACTATTGTGAGCCAATGTCTTATATGTGTCAGCATCGTTGAAGTTGTTAGTACATGGAGAGAATAGCTGAATGAGTCCTGGATGAATTTCAATGGATCCTTTTCAGATCACTGACGCTAAAATAAAGTATGTTATTCTGAATTGCCATTATTGATTCTTATCATCCACCCAACTTCTGTCTCATCTGATATTTGCTTCGTAACATTGATAATATCTGAACTTTATTTAGTGATATGTAATGTGTTTTCCAATTTATCATGCATTTGATAATTCGGTTATTACTTGTAGCATACTGTAATGTCGTTCACTCACAAAATGCATGCAATTCGTCATTTTTTTTTCTTTCTTCCGTTGATGTAAATTCTGAATTGTTTTAACGTTCAGCTTTTTTCTTTTTGATTTCATTTCGTATCATTCTATCTAGACTATTTGGTCGAAAATACCACTGGTTTCTTATGATAGCATACCTCGATATCTTATTTCTTCTTTTGAAAGACGTCTGTAATCATTTGGGTGATTCTCAAAATTAATATCAATACACTAATTGAAGAGATGAATTTTATTCGAAGTGTTGCAATAATAACTAGTTTGATGGAGTTTTTATTCTATTCCATCTTTTTTTTTTTTGCTGATACAATTGTTCTATCTATGGATGGAAAGTGGTAATGCTGTTGTGCAAGAGAAATATACAAACAAACATTGAATATGAATATGTACAAAATAACTCTTTTATTCAACTGTCATGTGAAGTGTATAGTAAGTTGTGTATTTTATGTAATTTGTTGTTGAATATTCTTTTCCTGTGAATTATTCCAATGAATGATTGTCAATATTTATTTTAATTTTAATCTTTTATGAAAAATTAAATTTTGACGAAAAACCATCATTATACATATTCATTGTTCTCTATTTTATTCTTCATTCATTTCTGTTAAAATGTTGCAAATCCTTATTCATTTATTCTACATTCTAGATATTTCATCGCAATGATTTCCGGAAATTTTAAATTGATGAAATCATATGCATATTTGTTAGCGAATAGTACACCTTCTAATTCAATTGTAATGTGACCAACAGATTTAGAACAAATAACTCTGAAGATGTTATACTTCGGATAACTAACAAAAACAATGTGAATGTCAGAAACATCGGGAAATACTTTTGTGATCTTCGTCTAAACAAGTAACTGCTGAAGAGAGATGGAAGAAATAGTCGATTTCAACTCAACAATTGAAGCAAATGAGGGGAAAGAGAGGAAGAGAGAGAAAGAAGGAGAGAGAGAGAGAGAGGGAAGGAGGGAAAGAGATAAAAATGCGGAATAATCATTGCTTATTTTCCATCGAACTTACGCAAGGCATACCACTTTAATTTGATGATGAAATTTCTTCAAATGGTAAGTGGTTTAATATTTGATGTAGAAATTTTATTGAAATATTAAAGAAGATATAACAACCTAGTATATTTTAGCTTAACGTGAAAATTATCAAATGGTATTATCAAGAGAAGAAAATTGGAAATATTCAAATGGATTAAATTATTTCGTCAAAAAATGGCATATATCAGCGAATCGGTAGCAGAAAGCATACTTGTTGTTTTCTCATGTGACATTTTTTTTCCCTCCCAAATATGTTTTATTGAATGTATGTCATTCTTTATCGATTTAACTAATTGTTGTTATTTAAGTTATTCAGAGTTGTTTTTCTCTTTTTGCAAAAGTACGAAATGTTTATTGGCAAAAAAATAAGTTTTATCTAGGATGCGTATAAAACTTGCTAAAATTATTTTTTTTTATTTTTTAATAAAAAACTATAAAATTAATGTTTTTTCAGGGATCAAAGATCATTATCATTCTGAATGATCGATTATATGGCCGTTTGGCTAATTTTTATGAATATCATTTTTAGCTAGTATATGATGGCTGTGCCAAAATTAACAGGCTTATTTTTCTGGTTACTATTGTTTTTATCATCTTTTCTTGGGTCCATATTTCTTCTTTTTCCATTTATCCCACTTGTATATTTTGCTCCATGTGTGTGGCGTACCATAGCTGATTGTTTCATTGGTTATTGGCTATTTTTACCTTCAGTAAGTTCATTTTAAAAAAAAGTTTTCTTCAATTTGATATTTAATGATACCATTTATGAAATTCGTGTACTTGGAGCTAGAAAATCTCAACGTTTACATATAGAACTACCAAAGCAATTAGATTATTTAAATTATGACATGAAAATTTTGCAACAAAACTTATCGTATCATCTATCTCTGATCCAATATGCCCGGTGATTATATCCATATTTGACTGGAGGTGGCTCAATTCATTTGATTTCAGAAAGGTAACAGGCACTATTAACCTCTCCACTCATTTGCTGAGAGCATATTCTGTTAGACATTAGTGACCATTGTTATTTCTACATTATGCAAAAGTTTCTAGAATGGATTTTAACTATGCTTAAGTTTCTAATTGTATACCACTTCAATTATGCTTCATTCCTTGACCTTTTCGTGTTCATCATTTAGTCTTTTATCTTGTCCTTTTTTTTTTCTTTAAAATGAACAGATAATTTGCAGTCATTATGTGATTATATACTGGGAGTGAAATTTCACATCACTGGGGATATGATAAGTTGTTCCGAACCAGCGTTGATCATCATGAATCACAGAACACGACTTGATTGGATGTTCTTTTGGAATGCACTTTACAAGATGGATCCATGGTTACTTACAACTGAGAAAATATCATTGAAACAACCGTTAAAATGTATTCCTGGCGCAGGTTTTTCTTTCCATTTTTCGCTTTTTTTTTTTTGAGAAAAAAATAGGAATACAGGTTTACGATGCTTTTCATGTTATAACTGTTATTTAAAGCTTATCTTACTGATTTGATTCATAAAAATTCTGCCTGAAAAGTACAGTTCACAATTCTCTGCCAAAATGCTCATCTTATTGACTTTTTTTTTTTTAATAAACTGTGAAAGAGAAATAGTCACTTTATTATTTTTATTAATCATCAAGTCATAATGATCCTTTGCTTTTAATGACCGTTCTTTGCTTTCTTCTTCCATCAAATAGATGTTTCTTTTTTCTGGCATTGAAATCCCTCAGAAATTTAGGATGGGCAATGCAATGCGCAGCTTATTTGTTCTTAGAACGTAACTATAAAAGTGATGCTGATACCATTAATGATATGATCACTTATTACAAAGATGTGGGACGTCATTACCAGGTTAATTTTTCTTATTAGTGTTAATTTTTCTTATTGCATTGTTTGTGTTTGAAGAAGTATTAGCGTCTAATTTATTCCTAAATCGTTAATATTGTTTTTACTAGGTCAAAGATGAAATTTTGAAGAATTTTTCATTTATGAAGACAAATAAATCCATATTAAGTTGATCTTAGTTTGATGTTTTATTTCCTCAATTTTATTAACTATTTTTCTAATTCATTTGTGTTTCTTTTTTACATAACTTATGTTATTATTAAATTTCCTGCAATAGTTCAATATTTCCTCTTTTTTTTGTAAATAGCTTATTATAACGGAATTTTTCAAGTCGATCTCTTACTTCCTGACATGTGTAACTTTTTAGATTTTGCTGTTTCCGGAAGGAACCGATCATAGTAAACGAGCTGCAAAGCGTAGTGATGAATTTGCAATGCAACGCGGTTTACCGATATACCACTTTGTTTTACATCCCCGTACGAAGGGTTTTTCTTATATGATACAAGTAATGCGTCAAAGTTAGTTGGTTTTTCAGCATTTGAGAGAATTTTCGTTTGATATATTTTTGGTGATAAGAATAAATTTTTTCAGTCGCCACTTTAACATTCATTCTTAGAGTTTATCAATTCTTTACTGCAGAAAGTTACCTAAAGAATGTTTACGACATAACGGTGGGATATCCAGATGAGATCGTCAGTTCAGAATTGGAAATACTCCAAAACGGCCGCTTTCCACATGCTGTACACTTCGATGTAAAGAAATATAATGAAAATGATTTACCTAAAGATAACTGTGGTTTGGCTAATTGGATCAATAAAATTTGGAGAGAGAAAGAGAATCGATTGGAGAATTTTTATAAGGCTGATGTCTCCCACAGACAGTTTTTGCCGTGTAGTGAGAAAGAGAAGTGGCCGGTTAGTATTTCTGCTGTCGGTTGTTTGCCAATAACTGGAGAATTTCGTTTATCTATCTTTCTTTTCTCCAGAATGATAGTTATGAGGTCTTTCAGTGATCGGCGAAAACAACTCAAAATGTATGGCCTATTTGGAAAAAATTCTAATAGAAACTAATGCTGGAAATTGAAATCTAGGTTTAATGTAAAATAGTGATTTTTCTGTTCAAAATCATGAAAGGAAGGAGAAAGATTAGTGGAAAAATGAGAATGTCATAAATCAATGGTGGCACAAAACACATGCGACGTATTTATAGCCTTCAACAGTTCATTTTCGATCTCTTCTCGTATTAAAGAAAAAAACAACCTTTCTGTTTCCGTCAGTAGGTATACTTCCGTCTTCCTTGCCTTTTATTTGGGTTATTGTCATCTCTTCTTATTCAATTTAAATAATTTAAACCCATGTGAAATCTTTAGTGTTATGATTTGTACCTTGTTGATCATGTTAAATGTGAGAACGTTACATAGTTAATCGGATATTTGTTATCACCATAGTATATCTTAAGTAAAACTTTTTTTTCAGGTACATACGGCAGGTATTGGTTATTACTGTGCATTTTTATTTTGGATAGCGATATCTGTAGTATGGATTTACTTCATCATTTGTTTTTTCTTTGTCAGGATTTACGTGTTCTTTGCTTGCCTTTTTTACGTCTTTTGTCACTGGCAATATGCTGGTGTACAAAATTTAGCACTGCAATTATTCAAGCAACAACAACAACAACAACAAATGAATCAGAAATTTGAATAATATTCAAGTATACACACTCATTGTTTCTTGTATTTTATACCTCGGGGAAATACTTTGATATGTTGTACTTCTTTACATCGAAGTAAGAAGAATTGCGTGAACTTTCGCTTTTTGCGTTTTCTTCCATTATTTATTCATCAATTTTTTTCCATGTTACACCCATCCTAGATATGTTTTGGTTCGTAATATGAGGAGGCAATGCTGATGAACGCCAAATGAGAGTTATGCTTCTCTAGCTTCAGTTAATCAAAAAAAGAAAAAAAAAAAAAAGAAAAAAAAACAAAAACAAAAAAAATGTTGATTGGCAGCGATGGAGAGATCTAAATGAAATAGTGTGAAAATTGTGAGTCATTTTTAGGATATTTATTTGTGGTTATATTAAACATATGGTCACCTCATTTGAGATCTGCAGTTTTTCACTACAAAATTACTTATACTTGTTCTTTTTTTAAAATCGCATTTGTTGGGAGATGTATTATTTTACTGTATACTATTTTTGGACAGACATTTGATCTAATTATTATGGAAGAAAGTTTGCGAGTCGAAATGCCATTGTATTCCAATGTAAAAAGCTGACAGTTTGGTATGAAAATAGATGAAAGCTGAGATCTATGTGGAATATTTTCATTTCTGAAAATTTGTATTCATCAAATAGTTTTGATTATTTTATGATTTTCTATTATAATATTTCATTTTGTCAATTTGATATTGTTCTACACTTATCAGACATACTGCTTTTGATATTATTTTTTTTTTTTCATTTGAATATTCATTGTAATACGATGTTTTAACATTGAATTCTTTTTCATTGATTTGAATAGGATGCAACATTTTAGTTGACGTTTATTACATTTCTGTAGTTTATAATTGTGCCTTTATCTCATTGCTTACCTTGAGCATCATAAAATTCATCTACTTAAGTACTGCTTTACATAGAATTGTTTTTGATCATTGATTCGTTTGTTATTAAACAGACTTCCTACTATTTCAACATCATATGCATGCATTTTCATGCGTAAATATATTTACATAAAACAGGTACACGTTAACGTGTATGATTGGAGTACTAGAAGTTTAACTAATTAACGATCCGATATTTTAAACGATAATAAATTTAAAGGAAACGTGAGCAGAAGTATTTATTAAAATTTTATGATTAAAAATAAGTAATGTTTATTCATCAAAGACTCATCAAATTTATAAAACATTTCATATTAATTGATAATTATCATATCATCTAGTAACATTTTCATCCATTACAATTTACGCCTATCTTCGCTACTATTAAATATCATCCATTCATTTTACTGATCGGTTAATTGTTCCTTTGTGACACTTCCATGTAAATATTAAAATTTATCAGTTTAGCGAAACCAGATTGATATTAAATTTTCTGCATAATCATTCTCTACCATTATGCGATAAGTGTTAAAACGATATTCTTCATATTACACTTATCGATTTACACTTCTATAAGATAGGAAGAAAAAAAAAACATAACGTTTATTTCAAAAATAAGTTTTTTTTTTGGTTATAATCATTTCAGTTTATTTCAAATTTCCAATTTTTATTTTCTTATTTAAGTTTCAAACTTTTTTTTTGCTCTTTAATTTGCGCCAAATTTCGAATGAAAGGAAAAGATTTTTTTTTTATTATAGAAGAAGTGAAAAGGGAAAAGAAAGAAAAAGAGAGAAGACGGAGTTAGTCGTTAAATTTCATCATTTAAAGAAGTGTTTTTTCTTTTTTTTTTTTTTTTCTAT